ACTACTCTGTAACCATGTTACTGCTATTGGTCCGGCGGATGTTAGGTGATGATTTATTTATCACCTAGCTAAGCCTAAGCTGTCGTACTGCTGTACGAAGTCTTTTGCTAAAAGAGTGCACGCTTCGGCGTTTAATCAGAATTTAATCCGTCGATGGGTTCTTGTTGTTCGGATGCGTTCAGTGGGTTCGGTGCGTGCTCATAAGGAGACCTCGAACGTTCATTGCGCACTTCTGAATCAATGCAATATAGAGCTGAACGCAGACATGGAATAATAAGCGGACGTAAGCCAAACGCAGCTACTCATTAGCACACTCAGCTATTGGGTCTTAGTGGCGCTCCGCACACTTGTTTTGATATGAAATAGAATTTACGAATAATTACTTTGTATTAGTCAATGAAATGAATTGTTATCGTTATTGATAGTATTAGATGGTGTATGTTATGAATTGAGATGTGAAGCTCACTCTCACTTCATAGTGTTTGTTTCTTGAATGACTTTGTGATGATACATTGATTGCAGTAGTGTTTTCGTAATATTTTGTTGCGTTGGGTTTTTTGATGTGGATTGGACGTTCATTGTTATCTTAATTCTGTGAAGAATTTGATAGATTAAGTGCGAAGATGAATTTTAAGTTTAAGTTGAATCATGTTGAAAATAGTTTGGTGAAGTTGTTGGTTGGGAGTATTTGTGAAGAAAAGGGGAATTGATCAGAAGTAAATAGTGAATTTGAAAAATATTCAAAAAGTGGCTGAATGAAGATGAGTTTGCCGGAATTTGTAAATTATAAATTTACGAAAATCTCTTCGAAATGCTGATAAGTTGATGCTTTTGTTGGCAGCTTGATTTCGATATATTTGTCGATTCTAGGCCACTCAACAAATCAAATACGTCTCAGCCGGTCAGTGCCTGACGGCCGATGAGTCGGCCTCAAGTAGTGCACTGTTGTTGAAAAAGTGTAATGAGGCGGATGCTTTGCAAAAGTGGAAATGGCGTGAAATATACGTTGACTGATCAACTTCTCTTCATTTTGTGCGTTTCATATTTGTTGTTCGGGTTTTTTAGTTTTTGAATTTGGTTCAGTTCTGTATAGTTTTTGAATATTTGAGTTGAAATTCGTGTAATTTCTTTATCGAAAAGCAGAAATGTTTCCGAGCTGAGTCGAAATTGTTATGGGAACTTAGCGCAAGATATCTTCATTTCAGACTCAGATCATCTAATCTGGATTATTACTCGATCAGCCAGTGATGCATGTGATGATGATGATGGTTGATGATCTTGAATTGTCGAGAATCGAATCGAAACAAACAATCACAATTATATTGAATGCGCAATATTTCATGCGCCTATGAATCAGCAGTTGCGTTTATTAGTAGAATACCTCAACTTCGGTCA